TTGCGAGGGTTCTGATCAAGGAATCCTTCCTGGTGCGATGATGACACTTCTTTCGTGTCAAGCGTGCGGGGCTATATGTACCGCATACAGACGGCTGTGTGTCACGCGGTGTGATGCAGTGCTCAAGCTGCGAGCCAGTAGTGAGCATCCGGGGCATCTGACTGCCGGGTTCTGCCCTCACTAAGTATCTAGACCATTCTAGGCCATCGAATATTGCTACTCCAGCTTCCGGAGTTGGCACTGGTGCCTCGCCTCTGCTCCCATCCCGGCCGCCAGGTGGCGTGCAAAGGCCAGCTCCGAGCCCTCGGACCATGAGATACATCAAAAGGAGTCAGACTCTTTTACCACTCATACTCACTAGCACACTGCTACAGATTTGCACCCTCATCCACACACATGGCATCAAGCATCAAGATCTGCCTATATACGTATATGTACACAGGAGTAAGAGCAATGTCATTCGCCGGCCTGACTACCACTTTGTGCTCAGCGACAACTACATGCAGACATGCATGGTCGATCCAAGCGCACAGATTAAGCTGAAACATGATGCATAACTATGATGCGTGTATATGCAGCCTTCGCATGCGCACAATCTGTGCTGCAAAAGCTACTTCATGTTAATGAGGGGCGGTTTTGGCACTTTTTTGTCACTCGTGCTCGACAAGTCAGACGAGGTTTATGGGAGCATACAAGGCAACATGTGTTCACATTGGAACACGACAAGTTCAGCAAATGCACTCGATAGCATCATGCGAGGCTATGGGGGGCGACAAGAGCTTCTTACATGTCATGGAATGCCAGTATGATTACATATACATGTGCACGTCTGCATTTACATTTAAATACGCACACACACACACACACCGACCGACACACATGCAGACACGCAGGCTTGCGGACCTGCATAGATACATGGATAGACATACGCATACGTACCTACGTACATACTACACACAAGCTTTACTTGCATCTATGCATATATACAAACATCCAATACATGTACATTACTTACAGTACGTAGTTACTTACCTATACATAGGTCATACATGCTACATACATTACATCAGTACATACGTACCACTTTGAGAATGCGTGTATGTAGTGCTGTATGTATCATTGATGCATGTTGGTGCCGGGAAGTAGAACGAAATGCCGAAAGCAAGGCGGCAAGACACCAATAAACTCTGCCGAAGACGGTACCATATCCGTTCATTGCGCAACATGTGTCGCTATTTGCTGCGGCTGCGCGGCGTCCGGAGCCAAATATGACTTCAGGATCTCGTACGTCGAAATGTAGACCTTCGCTGGTGGTTGTACCAAGGACGGAACCGTCCCTCTGCCCCTGCGACTCTGCCCGGTTGAACACCCGGGTCCGCATCAGACTCCAGCTAGGGATTTTCCACACAACTGAAGGCCGAGCGCAAACGCCCGGCGTGCCGAGAGTGGCTACAATGCCAAACCTCAGCTTGAGAGATTTGCTTCGCTGCTTCGTGTCTGAAGGAGAACGAAGCTCATTGCAACGAACCCCAGTCTCTTCATCAACGACTCCAGATCTAGGTAAGCAGGTAAGCCCAGCCGATGTAACCAGTCGCTGGACACTGAGACATGTCCTCTACGCATAGATCCCCAATCAATTGTGCTGCTGCGCAGTGAACTTTACAAAACCATATCTTGAGTTTTCTTGGTACCGTTCTTTGTTCCGCTGCTCGCTGGATTCAGACCCCGGCATTCAAATGTCGTGTGTGCATGTGCGCACCTGTGTTTGTTTTGTTTCTGTGTGCGGCTACTTGGATGCTGTACAGTCTTGCACATCTGAGGGACCCAACACATGGCTGGGCTCACTTTGTCACGGCCGATGTGTTAGCAAGCACATGCGAACCCCAAACCGATCGTGAATACTCACTAGTTAAGTGCGATGGCTCTGCGCACCGCTGTCTTTATTACATGCCATTGCGATTGTCGTGGCATGGCTCCTATGATTCCCATTATCGCTGTGCTCCTTCGGTCCTTCTGCTTTCGGAGTCGCATGATGCGTCTGTTCAGATGTCGCAACGGTGCATCCTCCATTTAGCACCTATGGCAGCTTGCTCTTAGCCTTTTTTCCCGTGATGACAACGACAAAGGCGATCGTAATTTTTCTAGCCGTACTGCCAACCGCCTTTATTATGACCGTAGTTGTCAGGATGCCTTGAACTGACCATGGCCTGTATGCATGCCACGATCATAACTCTGCAGTCGTGCCTCCGGCAGTCTGGAGTGAAAATCACGAATTGAGACTTTCAGCGATTGCTAATCTACTAGCTATTCTACTAGTCCAATGCAATGCAAAAGAATAGTGAACACGACAATCACACTAATCCATAACAAGCACATAACACTATTTTGCCAATCGTCGTTGCAGAGACCTGAAGTGCTCCTTGGGTCCCCTTCTTCCTTCAAACGTCCCTCCGCTCCCTCTCGTGACTGGTGCTTCCCCCCACGAAGGCGATCCCAACAGCTTACACTAACAAATGAGTCACAAAGAATTCACCGTCGCAGCACAAACGACACGGAACAGTGCCCTTCTCCATGGAATAGGTTTCAATACGTTAACTTAACGATGTACCTCCGGCGACAAATCCTCTAACAAAAGGACACCGCCTCGTCACTTCAGGCTTTCCACTGGGCGCCTGGCCCTCGGTAGAACCCCCGAATGCCTGGAATCGAGACTTCGCAGCGGCAGGAGAAACCAACTGCCCTGTGATTGAAGATTCTTATCCACGGCTTTGCAAACAAACCAACACGCCTTCTTCGGCGAAAAGTCTTCTGAAGCCTGGGCAATCATCCCAGACTCCGTTTCTGGACTTTTGGGACACAGGTGGCACGGCACTCCTCGCGTGTCACCCTGAGCACACGACAATGCAAGGTACTTCGGTACTCGCTCCCAGTGGCGGATTGAAGGCGAGACTGCACCAGCAGCAGCTTGCAGCAACAAGTGCAGATACCCCCACGTGGAACAATACTCGTCTCATGCATCCGGTGCTTCGTTGTGTTCGTTGCCTGCAAGATCCTTCAAGTTTGGGAGGCCTGCAGGTGAGGACCTAGAGCGGTCTAGCTTGCAAAGATCTGATATGGGCCGCAGGCTTAGCCAATTTTTTGATGCTGAGCAAACTCTTAAACACTTGACTCAAGGCTGCTATTGCCTTTTGCAGTCAGCGTGTTGGATGGTCTTACGGGCACCACCGTGGTGTCCAGCCCGGTTGCCTTCTGTGTTCGAGCTGGTCCACATCTTGCAGTGGCTCCACATTTTACTGTTCTTGCAGGCGGTCCGGTCTTCCCGGATTTGTCCCAGGCATCACGATATGCTTCCAGAATCTGCCTCGGGAGGGCCCTGCTAGCTCCCCGATTCTAAGGCGGACCCGAAAGCTTGGGTACTCAAGTCCGCTGGTGGGCTACCCGGCACAGCTTCTGTGCAAGCATTTTCCTGCAGTGGACACCGCGGCATTGTCGGGCAGATCCTTTCCCTCTCCATCTACGAATCTGAGTCGGGCCCTAGCTGTACCAGATTGATTTCTGCGGCAGTCAAGACATCATGTAGCATAAGCTGCTGCGTGCCTTGATGGTGTCCAAAGGGTGGCACGGCAGCCGAGAGATCAAGCCGCTCCTGTGCCGCAGAGCAGAGCGCGAAAAGGTGTGGAGAAATGGCAGAGCCTTATGCAGGTCAGAATGGCTGAGCCTTAGCAGGGTGACCGAGAGCCGGGCAGAGCGCTGCCCACCAAAGTATGTACCTTCCGAGCAGAGCTGAGCTTAAGACTGAAGAGTCTTCAGATGGAAGCTGGATGTTACGACCACCAGAGCGCACAAGCCGTGCTTCGGCCGGCTCGGTGGCCATGGCTTCGATATCGGCTGACTACGTGTCCTCTCGCAGTCCGGCGTGGTCTGCATCGGAAGGGAAGGCATCCGAGATCGGGGACCATGTAGTCACTCCTTGCTGTGGGAAGCTGCCTTCTGGCATGATGTGGGCCGGTCCGAAGAACAGACACGCATGCTTGTTGTGCAGCACCTACGATGGCGTAGCAGCTCCATCACTGGATCTGAAGCTGATGGCACAGCAGTCTTTGCTGCTGCGCTCAAGCGGGAAATGCATGAAAACGGCAGAGACAGTCAGCGCGGCTCTGGAATACAACACACCGGCCGAGCACATTCTGCGAGTTCCGTTCAAAGCCCTTTGGTCCGAAAGGTCCGTGTCTTGGGCTCTAGGGAATGCCGGTGGGGGTGCGTCGGGAGTGTAACGTGCGTGGGAATTGTAGCTTGTTGGAGCCCCTCTAATTCCGGGTCGCGAGGGAACGCAAGTCGCAAATCTGCATGTGCGAAGGTGCCGAGTTCTGAGGCGAGCCTGGAAAACCCGGATCGCAAATGCCATATATGTGACTGAGTCTACCCTTCCCAGAGAGAGCCGAGCCCATCTTTCTTGTGCATGCAGCCATGCTACACTCCCAACGGCCCTCGCAGGAAGGAACTTGTCCAATCGATCTTCTCCCGACTGCGGCCGCGGGAAGTGGGTCCTCGCCTGTCCACCCCGCCGCCGATTCAACACCCTGTTCTCGGTGTATGCTAGGCCCTCCTTGGCTCAGCAGCAGAATTGGAATCGGTTTGGAAATTCGGTTGCACGCATGGCCGCGGTTCAAAGGAAGTTCTTCGCAATTTCTTTCGCCCTGTGCGAGGTCCGGGGCAAGTTCCCCCACTTCCTGTCTGATCATTCTTTTGGCCTGCATCCCGGCTTAACAACACAGCAAAACTTAGTCAGTGGGAATATCGAGGTCTTGCTAGCGGGTCGCCGAAATATCTCACGGGAGGCGGGCATGTAAGTATCTCCTGCATCCCCTGGCAGCCCTAAGACACGGGCAGTCCCTGCACTCCTGTGAGTGCTGCTGGAGCCAAGCACTTTCACAGGGCCGAAGGGTGTGGTATCATTTCAGCCGGCACCGTTGCAGGTAACCACACTTTTGTTTCAGTTTTCAATATGCTTCTTGCTTGTGCCGGTGGTATCCACGGAAGTCTGGAATCAGCCAGGCATCGGTACCTTGCAGTGAGGCTTTAGCAGTTTTGCAGCTTTGGCAGTGCCCTCTCCATACAAATAGCGGATAGTGATTTGAAGCTTTCTTCTCTGGGCTCTGGGCTTTGTCCCGTATGCTCCAGGGCTTCCGTGTTGTCGACCAATCGTGCGGAGATCGCTCGGGCGAAGGGCGAAAGACGAGCGTGCGAGGCTCGTGGCAGGACCTGTGCTGAGCAGAGAGACCGTGTCAACAGCTCCAGCCCTGAGATCTGCTGCAGTAGCTCGGCAACGTACCGGCTGACACGGATCCAGGATCTCACCGCTGCCACACCTTCGGTGCTTCTCAGCAGCTCTACGTGACTAGTGCACAACACGGCACTGCTCCAACCCGCGCTTCTTGCCAAAGGGCGTGAGACTGCCCCAAAGCAAGCTGACGAACTCGGCATTGGGCAGAAATCCTTAGTCCATTGGATGGCCACTGTTGGACATGGGACATGCCGTAACAGGTCCAAGCTTCTCGGTAGACTGGAACCGCTGGGTGTACCTCCGTGCCAGACCCGAAGATCTCGGACGAGGGCGCTTCCGCGAGGCAGCGGACAAAGCACGGAATCCTTCATCTCCTCAAGCCGATTGCAGCTTCTTCGGGTTCGCAGGTCGTTCTATCTCATGGAGTCCGTGTGGAGGGCTTGCTAACCCTCGCTCCCGACGCCTGTGGCTCGGACGGCAAGTCCGGAGGCTCTGTAGTGTTTCGGTGGGAGTACGGCACGACCCTCATCGGTGCATCAGCACAGGAGATATCTTCCAATGCGAAGTTCACACCTGAGTTCACTCCTCGTCTATCCCCCTTCCACAGCAAACTCCCATACGCCAGCAAAAATACATGCTTTGCGCCACCTAGGAACCGATTGCAGGAGCTTTTTCCAGACTGTGCACCGGCCCTCCAACGTCCAAGTGAAGCGACTGATACCTTGCAGGCTGAGTGGCCGTTACTTAGCAAAGCATCTGAGGACTTTCCCGTGTCGGCACAACACCACGAGTATCCGCTCCAAGATGCGTGCTGGTGCTGCCCAAGACGAAGTCACCACCACCGCCGCATGCCAAGAAGCCCTCCGAATAGTAGGCTGCAAGGAGCTGGTTGACAGGCTCGTTGTCCAGCAACTGCTCCCAGCCTATCTGCTTCGGCAGATCATCGGGAGAGACGTTAGAAGGAGACCTTCTCACAAGGAGCGTCCGAGCTTCTGACCGTCAATGTGCCTTGGCTTCGCCATCGAGCCGAATGGTGAAGCAAGGGAATCACGTCACACGCCACCGGAACCCCGCCCCAAATGCGCAAGGCTGCATCAGGTGCAGGGTTCGCGAAGCCCCTCCAAAGCTATACCTCCGTGGACCGCGGTTCCCAAGCCGCTCGGGATCCAACAACAACATCTTCTCCGCGACCTTGTGAGCCAAGCACTTTGCATATCTTTGCATTTTGCCACTTCAGACTGGGGAGTTCACCGAGCTGCTAAGCTGTTGAGCTGGGAGCTGGGCCTGCTTTGCCTTCTGGAGGAGCTCCGCGGTTTGTGCATCCGACAGCGCATCCAGGATCACCACCTCGGCACCCCACAGACAAGTGCCAAAGGCACCCTCAAGGAATCGCCTGGTAAAGCAAAAATGTACTGACTACCGGGTTCGACCCCCGGAAGGAGTAATTACATGTATTTACAATCGTCTTTTGGGGACCAGCAGTGGAAAGAAACCCTGTGCCCAACTGCATCACCCAGTTGCAAAGCCGACTTCGTCCAAGACTTTCGTTGCCTCCCTGTACCATTCCTCGGTGCCTGAACCAGGAAGCAGCGGTAGCCCAGCGGCGCCAGCGGTTGCTTTCACAGACGTCCGCCAAAGAGGGGTCTGAAGCCCACGCCGCTCTCGGGCCGCTTCCGGAGACAAACCTTCACCGAAGTGCGCACAAAGCCGTTCTCCGCTCACCACGAATGGATGGGCCAACTCACGATTGGCCGCGGCAAGGGGGGATTTCAGGAAACACCGGCCCTGCAGAGAATCTGGCACTTGCGGCGCTTTCACAATGTAAGTCCAGTATGCACAGGTTTCGTGAGCCTGACAGAGGTGTCGACACTGGACGCCGGAATAGGCATCATGCACTGCCACGTCTTCACCTGACACGGAGGTTGAGGGCAGGGATCCACTGGAAAACACCTAGTGATGAAACCTGCAGTAGACAAGTCAGTCTATGCTCGCTGTAACTTCCAACAGTCTCACCTTGGAAAAAACAAACTCCGATCCCACTTCTGGCACTCCTAAACCTCCATGCAGATGCGTGCCATCACATGGTGCTGCATTGCACGTAAACCTGCGGGTGTGCAGCTCTCCGATCTCTATGCTCAGCGAAAACCATTGCCAGAGTTGCTTCTCTGTGGATTTTTCGCTCACCTCTCATCATTGCGGCTGATACCCGTAGTCGACGATGTGCTGCAGTAAGTTATCCTCATCAACCTACACTCTCTAGCAAACCCTCCTGTCCGGACAGGTTCCGAAATCAAACACGAATCCACGCCAAAGTCTGCCTGGCGAATCTTCGCCCCAGCGGTAGCAGTCGGCAGCCCCTCCCAAAGCACAGCAGTAAGCCCTCGTCCAAAGACCATGATGCCAGCAAGCTCCGTCTGCGCGATCGCAGCAGGATGGCTCAGGACATCGTGGATCGGGTGAGGCTGCAGCAACCAGAAAGCAGCAAGTCACGCCTGATCAACAACAACATCAGCAGGTAAACCGTCCATGCGAGCATCGTCAATGCTTCTGCTAGACATGTGCTCGGAAAACGATGCAAAACACGTTGTTGTCCCCGGTTTGCTCTATGCGCGAAGCGGGCGTGTCACCCTGGTGTTAGCGGGTCAGACGCTGTCAAGCCACATTACATCACATTAATTACAGTATGAACAAGCAGGTATTGTTGCCTTCTCATCCCGACTCTGAAGATGCCGCAAAAGAAAGGTCAAAAGCGGCCTACTCCATCTACCCTGAGACCTCCTGGAGTAAGCAGCAGCCGCAAGCGCTTGTTGCTGCGCATTGTTCGGGCTCGCCATGCTGCATAGGTGCAGGGACGATGATGCTTCACGTGGCATTCTGGGCAGACTGGCAAAAGGCACGATGTTTGTATAGTATAGCTTGCAGCTTGCACACTTTTGCAAATCGTGTGCAGCTGCATGGCTGGTCTTGCCTGTGGTGCTAAGCTGGACTGGCTCTGGCTCGCAGGGACATTTTTGCCGGTTGTTGTGGAGTGCAGAAGCTGGCAAGGCAACACGCAGTAGATGCAGCTGTTCCGGAGGGCAGCATCCCGTGTTGGAAGCAAATTTTTCGACCTTTTGCCATACATAGCGATCTCGAGCAAAGAGTGCCCAAAGCGGACTTGCAATTAGACAACGTTCCCAAACAGCCGCAGGGTTGTCCTGGCAAGGAACTTTGACCAGTTGTAGGACTCCTTTTCAGAGAAGGTCCGTCTAGGGCCTTTATTCGGGGACACTCTAAACAAGGACGACCTGAACAGCACTGTTACCAGGCTGACGGCTGGAATGGCTCGAAACGCGGAGAGCGCACGCTCCATGAGGAGATCGGCTCTATGGCACCATCACCACTGGGAGCCTTTAGTTAGATAGTTTGTATTCAGGCTTCAAGGCATTTCAAGGCTTTCACGCGCTCTCAGTAGGTGATAGTGTCCAGGTGCTTATCTTGCTACCGAGCCCCGCAGATTCGCCAGGGCTGTCCGGGCGCACCGGAAGTGACACGGACAAACTTGACATAGATTGACGCACTTCTTCATGTGAGCTTTGGACAGCTCGCCCTGCCCTACCACAACCTGCCACGGCGCTGCAGTGTCTCTGCTGTCAAGCCTGCCTTTGCGCCGACCCAGAGCCCACGCATGTGCATGGTGACGTGAAGCCGTCGGCAATAACTAAGATGCGGATCCAGGCTCACTCGCTCAGCCCAGCAGCAAACTCAAGGTCACCTGAAGGGCTCAGCCAGACCAAATCAAAGTCATAACTTGTTGGATATCAAGCCTCTCTTGCTCCTCTGGGCTGTCCTGGAATCCATGCCATGTGGTGAAAAAAGGACAGTTGCAGCAGCGCGGCAAGACCTGCCTCGGTGTCCTCATCCGAGAAACATCTGCTTGAGGTTGCTCCCTGAGACAGACTGTGGGCAGGCTGACTCCGCTGGGCTGCTCCATGACGCAAGGCCTTCCATGACTTCGGCAATGAGCACGAAGGCATTTCTGGGAGATGCTGCCTGGAGTCACGAGGCCCCGACAGAACGGCACCAAACATGTGCAGCTGTTCAGCTTTAAGTCCCAAGCGAGGTCGTGTGCCTCGCCTGCAAGAGCCCCCAGAGTCTTGCTGCGTTGCTGGTAGCGCGAGAGTCAGGGTGGGGGTCTCCCAGCTCCGCAACGATGAGTCCGGTGGTGTCAAATGGATCGGGCGGTCTTCGGCCTCTGCAGCTGCTTTCTCCAGCTTCTTAAGGCGATCGGTCGTTCGCCGCAGCTCCTCCTGGCATCGGCATTCTAGCAAACAGCCCTCACTACCACGGCAGGTCTGTCGCCATGCATGGGGTCTTCATGGCAAGGCAGTGCGAACAAGAACCCTTCAGCTATTCTGAAACCACGAGTCAGCGCTTCCAACCAAACGGGCAAAGAAGCCTCCAGCATTTCCGTTTGCAAGCGGTACTGCTCGGAGACCTCGGCTTCGTGTGAGAGCCCACGCGCACCCTTCCATCAACGGATCGGTACAGGATCCTATCATCCTATCCACTACTATCCAATTTCGAGCAGGTCCCACCTGCCGCTGCTGCTCGAGCTCCGAGCGCAACAGCTTGACCTCGAAGCGAGGGACTCCGAAAGGTGGGATGCCATGCTGGGCTCAATGGTGGGACATGCCGCATGGGAGCAAGCACCGAACGGTGTCTTGTGAGCGGCGCAGCTCACGGCTTTTGTCGCCAACCTGCTGCCGTATTCCCGATGATGCAGACGGTCGAGACAGCCTTGCTTGCAAAGCACGTGCGGCCTCCTGGTGCAACGCGTCGAGTTGCATTTGTTGGGCCTGTTGGCCGGTAAGCATCTAGCACTTAAGAAGGCGTAAGACAAGCGGCAGAGCACCACCTCGCAGGTGTCGACAGTAGCCGAGTGTGCTGATGCCGAGCCTTCCGAAAGCACACCCTCTGGCTGGCAGGTGCAATGAAGGGATACTGCTCGTCTAAACTCAAAGCCACTCCTGGTGCTCCTGCTGCATCAGCATCCGTTTGCACCTCGACACTTCACGGCGTCGGCCCGTGGCTTTCATGCGTATCTCAAGTAGTGCCGAGCGGAGACTCTGTCTCGCCTCGGCTTCCACCAGCTGCTTTGTTGGGCATCTTAGGGCGGCGATCTCGCTGCCTGGAGATTCATAGCTTGGAACGGACAACCTTGTCCAGTGTCGTGTGGGCTTGATTGTGCAACAGGATATTTGGCTACTAAGGATCCAGCGCTGGAGATCGTTCTGCTCCTTCAAGCTGCTAACCATGCCTGCGGAGTTCGAGGATGGCCTGCTCTGCCATGCGCACTGTCTGCAGGGCCTCTTAAGAGGACCTCCTCCGGTGTCTCTGCTGCCTCATGGAGGCATGAATCTTGGATCACTGGATGATCAGCGGGATGCGGCAAACGAACGCATAGAAAAGAAGCTTTTGTCAGCTGCTTGCTGCGATGCTGGCACGGCCCATAAAGCTCAGACATCTTGTCCGACACTCGTTGAAACCCTTGCAGGACGAGGGTTCGATATGCACAACTCCCCAACTTCATCTTCGGAAGATGCATGGCTCAGACACAGACCTGACTCTTCTTGATGTCAGGCAAACGCAGGGCAGATCTTTAAGACTCACCACTGCAATTACATACGCGTGGCTGGTTACCAGCCATGGAGCAGCGGTCACTCGCGAGAGCACCCCGTGCTATAAAGAAGGCAAAGATCTCCGCCGATCTTGGCTTCCTTTAAGGACAGCCTCGATGGCGAAAGCCAGGTCCCTGTCCTTGGCTTCTGTCATGTTGGGGCAGATGCTGGGGCATGCTGCGGTTTTCATGCTTGCTTGCTGCACGCTCCCTGGCCGAAAACCTGCTTCCCAAACTCGCGTCTTTGCAGTTTGGCCCTTCGCTACTCGGACCATTTTGGGTGCATGGGTCTCTTCGTCTTTTTCAGGGCGTCAGGCATCAGGGCCCCTCTTACCTTCTGGGCTTTGTGGGGACATGAGAGTTCTGTTGAGACTCTTCAGCTGTAGGACATCGCTCTCCATGATAATGGGGACATGAACTGAGGTTTCAACCATGTAGACACATGCCTGAATTTGTGAGCTTTCCCTATCAGAACAAGAAGAACCAAAGCTCGACAAGACCGAACTCCTTCGAGAAGGGTTGTTCCTGCGAGTCGGTCATCCGTTTGGGCAGGTCTAGCCAATGCGTTTATTGACTCCACGACACTGGCACAAGAGCATGGAAACGTGTAGGACCATGTAATACAAGGAAGGACTATGCCAATGCATTCAGTGGGGAATCAGCTGGGCAGGGCATGTCTCATAGCATCAGTCTATCTGCGCCACATCTGAAAACGCTGGCAGTGACAACATGCTCAACATATAAATGGTCATTCCGCGAGATACGTGTACCAAGTGTGCCCTTCCATCTGGCAAAGAAGCACAGCATCATCCACGCTTAATAAGCTGCATAGGAGTTGTCCTAGCATGACACATTTGAGCGTATCTCCACCTGTTAGCCATGTCTACCAAACAGTGGAAGAGAGCGTGTTCTGCATTCGTCTTTTCTTTCACTGGGCCTGAGGAGCGAGCCCCACCCTTGGACACGCCAGACTGCCGAGCATCTACTTTCACCTGCGAGGATCCTCATGCTGACAGACTCCGCTAGATGACGAGCAAATGAAGACGTGCGACCCGAGCGGAGCACATCTGATTCTCATCCTCAGGCGGTACTGGCGGAAGGATGGTTCGCCCGGCGGCATGCTCGCCCCCACAAACAAGCAGTACTCATGTTGGACAACTCGTCTAGGTAGTACCACGGGCGCTGTTGGCTTGCGAAACGAAGGTTGAGGCCTCCTCTGCACAAAGGTGCTGCTTGCGATATGCGCTGCAGGACGGCCCCCCTACGAGGCGGTTTAAAGGAAGCAAAACCAAAGGTCTTACTTGCACCAGGCATGCGGAAGTCAAGCACGGTGTTAGCAGCACTTTTCGCCCTCAAGACCCCGGAACTTGCACTCTGTCACAAGGCGGTGCCAAACATCGGATATCAAGGTACTGTGGTCTCGCTTTGCTTTGCTTTGCATCTCTCTCTCCCTCTCTTGCTTGCTTGCTTGCTTATGCTTATGCTTGCTTGAGCGGAGCCCAGGTGAGCCGAGCGTCCGTCTGGTTCCATAGCTTGTTCTCGAGCTTGGGGTCCAGATCTTCAGTGAGGATCGTCATTGCCTTTGCCGCCAAGCTGAGCGCCTGCAGCGGCTGCAGATTCCCAGCCCTTCACATGGCCCTCTGAACACCTCATCTTCCAGGAATGCAGGGCGGTCATGCTGCACCTGTTTCATGGCCATTTCCTCACCACCGGTGCCATCGATGTCACCGAGGAAGAGTGACGGACCATACCTCGTCAGAACGCATCGTAAGTTCGTTAAAGCCAAGGCCACGGCCAAAGACGCAGAAGGCCCCGCGCCTGGAGGCGAGCACCCCTAGCATCTCCAGCAGCTCAAAGGCTGCCCAACTCACACGCAAACCGCAGGAGCCAGCCTCAGCCCAGGGCCCATCCGAACCCGAGATTGTGACACTCAGCGCTCAGCTTCCACATCCACTCGTAAACACCAAGAGCATTTTCCTCTTGCACTAGGCCACAACCAAATCCAAGTGCTGGATAAAGCGACTGGCTACTCATGAATTAATTATTTCCTAGTTCACTGTATGTTGAGCCGACAAAAAGTGCTCGGCTCCTCTCCTCTTGGCTTCCATATCCTGGCTACCACGGCTTCGACAGTGTGTGAACTGTGACGTACAAGACCGGGGACCGTAGGCGTAGCGGCCGCAGTAGTTGGCGGCGGGCATGTCACCTTCAGGCCGGTAGTACTGGCTTTCACAGAAACATACAGAAACCGGACTTTAGCAACAGGTCCTTCCCCGGTGAACCGCCGCCTGAATAACGTCAATTCGTGCTGCAAAATCCGGATCTGACTGGCTTTGGTCTGACAGATTCATTACTTCCGCGATGGAGTCCAAGAACAAAAGCACGTCATAGCCTGCGCTGCGTTGTAGCAGAACCAGCAGCCAAGGCAGCTAAGCCAAGGGGCGGGCTTCAACCCGGCAACCAAAAATGTGCATGCTCACTCCAAGAGAACGTTTGCTATAAGATGCCCTCGGCATTCCGTGCCTATCCCAACCTTGCGGAAGAAGGTGTCCAACTCAGAGCCATCAAACTCCTCTGCCGTCATAGGGATAACAGGCGACATGTACATCGGCAAGTCTTTGAGGCCATCCTCAGGGATGCTTGCATGACCGTTGACACCGGCGCAACATGACTGAAGTGGTGGAGATGTTGCCACGGCTCCGCGACAACATCCCTCCCCCGTCTGCAGACCTCCACTCCACCAGATGAGGGGCAACGCCAGATATCTATGCTGCTCATTTCAAGTTAATTACATTCGCGGCCGGAGGGCTTTGTGCTTCCAAGAGGCCGTCTCCAGTTTGCAGATCTGCAGATGCTCATGGCATGCTCTGACGACGGCGGAGCAGGCACCGTCGAGAGGAGGTGCGTCCAGTGGCCCGGCCACGAGCTTCAGCACGCACTTCTCACCCCGGGCCAGGGCCGCAAAGAGGTTTGCCTTGAGCTCGTGGAGCCTGTTTCCACATGTGGCTCTCAAAATCTGGCAAGATACCAGTTCATTATGACCTATCTACGGCTCGGACAGCGCCAGCGATTTAGACATGGACCCGGTAACCAGAATTAGGATAGAAGAGATTTGAAGTCGGACCACGGGTAGCCTTAGTCGGCCAGCTCAATCCCCCAAGAACCGAGGTTGCAAGACCGACTCGCAGCTAGCGAAGTGGGCCTGCTGGATCGGATCGACAGCTTCCGAGCCCTGTGGTTATACTGCTGCTCTTACCTGTTATTGCGGTTCGGCGACGACGACGATGACGACGGAGCAGACGGCACCGCCGCTGACGGCAACGAAGACATCTCGGACGACAACAGCCAGGCACAGCCGATCTGCGAGCTATTATGCCACCTGGCTTTCGCAGTCAGTGCGATGTTGGAATGATGTTTGCAGCCGGGAGACAAGGACCGCAAGCACCACAGTCCCAGAATGTCTTCTTTATTCAGCTCAGACATTCCCACCGGAATCCCATCGGGAACATGCAGAGCACGCGGTGGTATACACCGGGTTCAGGAAGCCCTGCGGTGCATAAACCCCCCATTGATTGTATTGCTGCTCGATGTAGCAATGCGGTTCGGACCTTCGATTTCTCCTGGTTGCAAGCGCGTCCGAGATCCAAACGGCTGAGCGAATAGACAGACAACCTGCAGCATGTTCTGGTAGGATTCTCGAGCAGTAGCATTTCGGAAACAGGACATTCGACTCAATACAACAACTGCGACTTGAAAGTATCGCAATCGCGTGAAGATGGCGTAAACTTCGTTAAGTAATACACCAATCGCACCATCAAGACGCCCGTGATGCCCAAGACTTCGTCTAGGGCCAGGAAGAAGCAGACCAGCCTCCTCTTCTCTCGGTGCCTGTTTCGACCGCGAAGAAAAGAAGCCTGAAACATGCTGCATTAGGATTTTCATCCAAGCACGCAGAAGCCACCAAGGCCTCCAGGCCGGGGACGCCTCTTGCCTGCGCAAATCGGGACTGAGTCACGAGGCGAAGCTAAGCTGTGCCCACCTGCACAACTTGTCCTTGGCGGAACAACCTTGAGGCCGGGCCGGCCGGGCCAGGCTGGTCAGCTGGTCATGAGTCCCGGAATCTTGGAGAAAGCCTGAGCGTCCAGCCTTCATCTGAAAGTCAGCAGGGCACCTGCATGCCCGTCGCCGCATCAGGGTTGCTGCTCACTTGAACTCCAAATCAGATTATGGTTTCTAGGGAACGTCCCACCGCGACATCCGCAACGCTGTCCCAGATTCCCTATCTCATCGGCCACTGGCAGGTGCTTCCAAAAGAAGACAGGCCGGGGTCGGACACGCCCGTGAATCGCAGTGTCGCCTGCGAGCTAGTTGCAAAAGGGCCACGCAGACGTGAGCATGCGGCTAGGCACGGATATGCCATTCCATGACTGTGCTAGTATATCGCAGTGAACGGCTAGACTCGCACTCAGGTGCATATGCGGCATAGTGGCGATATCTTCTTCCCTCAGCTTGCCTTCGAGAAAGGTGTGGAATACTGCCTGCCCATCCTCCCTCGCTTTTCTGGACCCCGAGTCAGTATGTCCTGTTGGTTCTTTCACATTGCTGGGCCGAGTGGCATGTATGCCTGCGGCTGGTGCAGTCTCAAGTTCAAGCATGGCCGCCGTTTTCTTCAGAAAACGGGTGGTGGTCGAGCATCCTATCGCCTCTCTACTCGATCGTCTGCTGCTAAGTTGCCCTGCCCACTACTAACATCGGCTAACTCTCTTCCTCTCCCTCTTGCCGCCTCATCGCCCATGGTGCGTGAAGAGGCGCCGTGTGTGCAAACACATCACCAACCGGGCAGCGGCATCTCAACGGCTCCCACTACTACCCTTACTTAGGACAGCGCACACAAGTACTCAGATCTGACAGCTCGAGGACTCTAAGTTGCTTGGCTCACCGTGCTGGTGGCTGTTGAAGAGGCCCTTTTGCCGTCAACACTGTACCTGTCGTCGCCATTGCATGCGCCTGGTACATGGTCGCGCTGCACTGAACTCTTGAGGAGGCGAGCAATACCACCAGCTGAAGCAGTCAGAAGCACAGGATGTCCGCTTCAAGAACGCATGTTTTCCCCACCATCCTGTCTCGCCCTAACGCCCCTTTGGGTCAACTGACGGAAGGGATTCCCGAGACTGGACTGCCTCTACAAATTGTGAAAGTCCAGATATTGCGAGCCAGGCACTCCAGGAATCCTGTCTACGCTGCACATCACCCTCCCAAGCTGCATTTAAACGGAGAATTTTCAAGCAAGTGTACAAAGGGTCGCCATCTTCGAGATGCAGGGTACATTCTCTCGTCACGCCCTCTCCACTTGACGCTTTGAGCAGGCCATGCTTTCCCGACCTGGAGGAGGTATCCAGCATCCTGCAGCTTAGCAGCTCCATTCCATCAAGATCCGTCGTGTGGCGAATCTCGAGACCCCCTCTCTGGTGGAGGAGGAAGCAGCTCCGTGTTTTAACATGCAGCTGTCGTCAACTGTTTTACGCAACTCCCCGAGCATAAGTGTACAGGGCCGAGGTCAGGAGACTAAGACGTCGGCACCAATACTGTACCTGACACCGGCGAGTCCTCTCTACTCTCTACCAGATCATGCGTAGCGATAGCAGGCCCGGCGGGGCAAACAGTACGCTCTTTTTCACACTGAGATTCCCATGGGCGTAGCTGCGCTCCGCAGACCCCGCCGTCCTGCAGAGTAGAACAGCCAGATGGAGTGGCAAAGTAGACGATCAGAGCAGGAAGCAGAGACTGCTTGTTGCGAAAATGCGAAGCTTGCCGAACAGACCACTCTCTCACAGCAGATCAGCCTGTGCAAGGAAGCTTCTTTTGCGTGCTGCGAGGGCACTAGTCACTAGTGAGCCACCACCCTGAAGGTAGGAATCTAGCCAAGCAGACAAAGGCTGATCAATACCTTGCCCCGTCTTGTTTGACACTGCAAAGTACTGATATTTCTTATCCCTCGCGAACTGGAGCATCTCTTCTTCTGGCACTGCCGGATTGGGACTGTCTGCGTGTGTGCCAACCAAGCAGATGCACCGGCACGCTTCGCGATTGTTTTCCTCTGCAGCCTCGAGAAGGTCAGTGAGATCTTGCAGCGAACGGCGATCGCAGAGAGAGAACACAGCGAGGAAGCCACTTGCACAGCGCATGCAGCTCCTCACGGTGGTTCGGAATCGTTCGTGCCCTGGGGTGTCCCACAGCTGCACTTTCAACTTGATTCCATCATCGGATTTCCGGTAGACAATTTTGAAGTCGACGCCGATCGTCGTTTCGATATCGTCGGAGAATTCCTCCCTGCACAGCGCTCGCAGCAGTGCTGTTTTTCCTACGCCTGCCCCACCCAAGATGACACACTTTGCGAGGTAGTCATGCTGCGGTTCTGCAGTGCCGGAAGGCTTCCATTCTGTGTATGTGCCTGTAGTTCTCCTGAGAAGGTACAGGCAATCCTCGGTGAGGTTCAAGTCCGAAAGCCTTGAAGTTCGCTTCAGCACATCAGTCCCAAGAAGCAAGGACAGTCTTCCTGGTGCCTCGCTCTGGGTGCCCAAGCGCAGCAACAAGGCAGCGACTGTCATTCTGCCAGGGAGTCGCTCATTCAAGGCCACTTCACCAGACGGGTAGAGAACTCGAATATCCACAAACCGCTCGTCTACCCGAATACCGAGTTCCTCAGCATATGCCAGCAGCTGCTGGAGCTGTTCCAAGGAAGCCGTCTCCGCAATTTGCTTCAGTTCTTCACGCGCACCCGCCATGGATGCTTCAGCCTCTTCACGGGTGCTGCAAGCTGACCATGCCTAAAGCGTACCTAAAGACAGAAGTTGTTGGAAGATGTTCGGCTCAATAGTCATGCTAAGGCTGTTTCAAGCAAGAGCTTGATCCGATTTGGTGCACTGGCTTGAGCGCTGTCCTGCGGTTCTATGATCGCCAATTCGCAACATCCGAAATGTGGGTGAGGCTATTGGATATCGGACTGCCGAAAGAAGACCGGCGATTGCCCACCAAGACTTGTGACGAAATCGCCTTGAGTGATCCTATCCCTCAGTCTCGTCCTCCAGTGCTTCCACGAGGAAGTCTTGAATTCCTTCTGGCCGACGGCCCCCTGATGTCAGACAGCCGCGACCCTCATCTGTGCAGTCGTGCGATGCTTTGCCAAAGCAGGTTTACTTGTTTTGGCCCGACGCTTGTCTACACTCAGAGACTGCTTGGTGCGAAAATGCGAAGCTTGCCGCACAGACCACTCTCTCACAGCAGATCAGCCTGTGCAAGGAAGCTTCTTTTGCGTGCTGCGAGGGCACTAGTCACTAGTGAGCCACCACCTGAAGGTAGGAATCCAGCCAAGGAGAGAAAGGCTGATCAATACCTTGCCCCGTCTTGTTTGACACTGCAAAGTACTGATATTTCTTATCCCTCGCGAACTGGAGCATCTCTTCTTCTGGCACTGCCGGATTGGGACTGTCTGCGTGTGTGCCAACCAAGCAGATGCAGCGGCACGCTTCGCGATTGTTTTCCTCTGCAGCCTCGAGAAGGTCAGTGAGATCTTGCAGCGAACGGCGATCGCAGAGAGAGAACACAGCGAGGAAGCCGCTTGCAGCGCGCATGTAGCTCCTCACGATGGTTCGGAATCGTTCGTGCCCTGCGGTGTCCCACAGCTGCACTTTCAACTTGATTCCATCCTCGGATTTTCGGTTGACAATCTTGAAGTCGATGCCGATCGTCGTTTCGATATCGTCGGAGAATGCCTCCCTGCACAGCGCTCGCAGCAGTGCTGTCTTTCCTACGCCTGCCCCACCCAAGATGACACACTTTGCGAGGTAGTCATGCTGCGGTTCTGCAGTGCCGGAAGGCTTCCATTCTGTGTATGTGCCTGTAGTTCTCCTGAGAAGGTACAGGCAATCCTCGGTGAGGTTCAAGTCCGAAAGCCTTGAAGTTCGCTTCAGCACATCAGTCCCAAGAAGCAAGGACAGTCTTCCTGGTGCCTCGCTCTGGGTGCCCAAGCGCAGCAACAAGGCAGCGACTGTCATTCTGCCAGGGAGTCGCTCATTCAAGGCCACTTCACCAGACGGGTAGAGAACTCGAATATCCACAAACCGCTCGTCTACCCGAATACCGAGTTCCTCAGCATATGCCAGCAGCTGCTGGAGCTGTTCCAAGGAAGCCGTCTCCGCAATTTGCTTCAGTTCTTCACGCGCACCCGCCATGGATGCTTCAGCCTCTTCACGGGAGCTGCAAGCTGACCATGCCTAAAGCGTACCTAAAGACAGAAGTTGTTGGAAGATGTTCGGCTCAACAGTCAGTCTAAGGCTGCTTCAAGCAAGAACTTGCTTGATCCGATTTGGTGCACTGGCTTGAGCGCTGTCCTGGGGTTCTATGATCGCCAATTCGCAACATCCGAAATGTGGGTGAGGCTATTGGATATCGGACTGCCGAAAGAAGACCGGCGATTGCCCACCAAGACTTGTGACGAAATCGCCTTGAGTGATCCTATCCCTCAGTCTCGTCCTCCAGTGCTTCCACGAGGAAGTCTTGAATTCCTTCTGGCCGACGGCCCCCTGATGTCAGACAGCCGTGACACTCATCTGTGCAGTCGTGCGATGCTTTGCCAAAGCAGGTGGAAGTTTACTTGCTTTGGCCCGACGCTTGTCTACACTCAGAGACTGCTTGGTGCGAAAATGCGAAGCTTGCCGAACAGACCACTCTCTCACAGCAGATCAGCCTGTGCAAGGAAGCTTCTTTTGCGTGCTGCGAGGGCACTAGTCACTAGTGAGCCACCACCTGAAGGTAGGAATCCAGCCAAGGAGAGAAAGGCTGATCAATACCTTGCCCCGTCTTGTTTGACACTGCAAAGTACTGATATTTCTTATCCCTCGCGAACTGGAGCATCTCTTCTTCTGGCACTGCCGGATTGGGACTGTCTGCGTGTGTGCCAACCAAGCAGATGCAGCGGCACGCTTCGCGATTGTTTTCCTCTGCAGCCTCGAGAAGGTCAGTGAGATCTTGCAGCGAACGGCGATCGCAGAGAGAGAACACAGCGAGGAAGCCACTTGCAGCGCGCATGTAGCTCCTCACGATGGTTCGGAATCGTTCGTGCCCTGCGGTGTCCCACAGCTGCACTTTCAACTTGATTCCATCCTCGGATTTCCGGTTGACAATCTTGAAGTCGATGCCGATCGTCGTTTCGATATCGTCGGAGAATGCCTCCCTGCACAGCGCTCGCAGCAGTGCTGTCTTTCCTACGCCTGCCCCACCCAAGATGACACACTTTGCGAGGTAGTCATGCTGCGGTTCTGCAGTGCCGGAAGGCTTCCATTCTGTGTATGTGCCTGTAGTTCTCCTGAGAAGGTACAGGCAATCCTCGGTGAGGTTCAAGTCCGAAAGCCTTGAAGTTCGCTTCAGCACATCAGTCCCAAGAAGCAAGGACAGTCTTCCTGGTGCCTCGCTCTGGGTGCCCAAGCGCAGCAACAAGGCAGCGACTGTCATTCTGCCAGGGAGTCGCTCATTCAAGGCCACTTCACCAGACGGGTAGAGAACTCGAATATCCACAAACCGCCCGTCTACCCGAATACCGAGTTCCTCAGCATATGCCAGCAGCTGCTGGAGCTGTTCCAAGGAAGCCGTCTCCGCAATTTGCTTCAGTTCTTCACGCGCACCCGCCATGGATGCTTCAGCCTCTTCACGGGAGCTGCAAGCTGACCATGCCTAAAGCGTACCTAAAGACAGAAGTTGTTGGAAGATGTTCGGCTCAACAGTCAGGCTAAGGCTGTTTCAAGCAAGAACTTGCTTGATCCGATTTTTTTCCCTCCTACCTAGCAAGGACAAAGCCCGCATTGCGGTTTGGTGCACTGGCTTGAGCGCTGTCCTGCGGTTCTATGATCGCCAATTCGCAACATCCGAAATGTGGGTGAGGCTATTGGATATCGGACTGCCGAAAGAAGACCGGCGATTGCCCACCAAGACTTATGACGAAATCGCCTTGAGTGATCCTATCCCTCAGTCTCGTCCCCCAGTGCTTCCACGAGGAAGTCTTGAATTCCTTATTCTGGCCGAGGGCCACCTGATGTCAGACAGCCGCGACACTTTGCCAAAGCAGGTCGAAGTTTACTTGTTTTGGCCCGACGCTTGTCTACACTTGCCTTGGCATAGCTTTGCGATGCCTCTAACATTCACTGAAGCAGTTGGCTGTGCTATGCCAGTGCGTGCTGTACAAGCACTGGGAGGCAATACACAAAAGATTACCACGGTGTACGAGCAAGGACTGCTTTCAGGCTGGCAAAGCCGCGAGCCACTTTACAAGCTCGTCCATGAATATCCCGGGAGCATCCTGGACCTGCCAGTGATCGCGGAGCTCCAGATCTTCAGGCAAACATGATCGTGAGGGTTTTCCACACCAGCTAGAACAAAGTGCTGTGGCAGGGTTGATTCGTCAGATTCGGGAGCCCCGAACTGTTGGATCTTAGTCTTGCTGGATTTTGCCCGCAAGAAACCCAGGCGACCGGAATGCGGGCGATACCTGCGAGCACGCGCCTCTTGCATGGGCGAACATGTCCTTTTTTGCCGCTCCCCCGAATACCAAAACGTGGATCAGGTTTTGGAATTTACCGCGAATCGGGCTTTTGGGAGAGGCCCCGGCCTCTCATTTGACGTGGGCTCAACATATGCATCACAGAGACACTAGTCCTAGACTGTGAAATGCACCGTGCGAGGAATCGTACTATGCACGAGAGCAGCGAGAGCCAGCGAGCGAGCGAGCGAGACATGCACACACGAAGACTGCATTTGCGCACGCACTTTCTGGCATTTCATGTAAGAGTCTCAGCCCACAATTCTCGCATCATCTTCAGTGTTCCATGTCAAAAAACTGAATCTGACTTGGTACGTCTAGAAATCAATCGAAGGGACGGACGTTCTTGCATGTTGGTTTGCCAGTTGCATGGCCATTTGGTGCAACATCAGACCAGCTGCGCAGGAATCTCCCTGCCATTCTGACTCCTGCCTTGTCGACGACGACAAGTGTGGCGCTTTGGCCAAAGATCTCCTTCATGGCTTCAGCAGAGCTCATTGGGTGGATCGGATCGTCACGCGCATTCACCACCAGCACCTGCAAAAGTGAGGTGTTCATGCAGGTCAATATGTGTTCACAATTCACAGGAGGGACAACGGCCAGAACAACTGCAGGCAAACATGTAAAGAATCTAAAGTTCCAAAGCTTTCAATGTTAAACTGCAGCTGTGGTGCGGGGACCCCAGTCGCAGCGAGTCTTTGCATGTCGTCCCGAGGAGGGAAGTCAGCTCTAGCTGCACCGAGCATTACATCGTACTGGATGGGATCGGTCTCGCGAACCGAGGCCGCCTTTGCTTCCAGCACACCTCGCCTGGCCTGTCTTCCGGCCCACATAGTGGGAACAAGGTATAGAACCAGTCCACGAATTTTTCTTGGAGAAAGGAGAGCTGCCCAAACAGCGGCTGCTGCACCCATGCTGCATCCTCCGAGAATGTAGCTTGGATCCGACGGCTGTTCAGCATGCGCCGCAGCCACATGAAGCATGTCCGCACCCAAGCAGCGCCAATGAAACTGCTCTGGCCCTCCTCTTTCCCAGCCAGTGCTTGTGCCATGACCTCGAGCATCAAACAGGACGATCCGGGGCCTTGCGCTGCTCTCTGGCATTGCCTGTAGCACCTCAGAAGCGCTAAAAGAACCGGGTCAAGGGGGGAACCGCGGACCGCGGCGGGCCTTCTGCATGTTCTTATCCGCAGATGTTTCATCGTAGTTGCTCATCCTGTTCAAAGAGCTCTGGTCTTTTTCACTCAGAGTTCCAGAGTTCAGAATGCGCAGGAAGCGTCCTCTCACCCAGCCCGTGGAGGAAAGTGAACACCGTTGGCCGACATGTGGACTGAGGGCCCTCCTCGCACTGGGGAACTCTAAGCTGACAGACCTGCATGCAGACCAGTCTGATGAGACGGCGCTGATTCCGGAATGTGATTGACATCGGTGCAACCCTGCGACGGATCCTCAACGACGAAGAGTTTGCTGGGAAGGATGGTGCCATCCACGGCGTGCACTTTTCGCTCTTGCGGGCCAGCGGTTGAAGGCGCGACCGGCTCGGACTCAGCAGCTCCCATCGCTACAAGCAACGCTGGCCTACAATGATCTACAGCCGTGGCACTGCTTCAAGTACCATCTCGTAGCTTGAGAGTCTGCACGGTGCCCGCTTCTTACCGATGTCGTAGACCCCTCAACACATTCTTGAATCGACGAGTTCGCAGCAAGGCATGGCTGCTTGCAACGTGAAGCACTCGAACCTGCAGTGCAGCTGCAGCGCCATCCGTTCAAACGAAAGAATGCCTGCATGTGACGCATGCGTCCTCACGAACGGTTCGGGATAAGTACCAAAGCGTTGTTGATCTCACACCCTCGTAAGGCAGGAGAAAGCTTGTTTTGACAAACGGTCTCCGGACGTAGCGAGCTATTCGCGAATGGACCCCACTGATGCTCCTTAAGCACTGCTAGTATGGCAAGTTAAGTTTCCTCAGCAGCAAATGCAGATTTGCCTAAGCGGGTGCTTGCGTTTAACAACGCGGCCCGTATTCTCGGACAGCTCGGCGTAGCAAAGCAGACACATCATCGTTCCAGGCCTTTTCCTGGTTACGTTGGGCGGTCGTCGGCAGCATGGCCGCCTGCAAACTCAGCTGGCAGCAAGAATTGGCAAGACCCTGTTGCGGGTTGAAGCAAGCGGCTCCCGAAAGCAATGCTTCAAACACAGGCCGAGACGCCGTGCTAGTTCAACTGCCACTGACTGCAGTCGCTTCTCATCTGCAGCAGTTCTGGGTAAAACAATGGTCAAACCTTGCTCAAGATCTCGCAGCCTTCGAGGCAAGCTGTCAGCATAGGCATCCGCTGCCCAGCTCCAGCTATGGCTCATTGCACACATTTGATATATGTTAGGAATGGGCTACTCAGTAGAAGTGTGCGTCAGGTGAGTATGGCGACGAGGTCTCAATGCGTTGTGGTTCAGGAGACATATGACTGATGCTTGAACCTGAACCGCGACATGCGCAGACAGCCACCAGCTAGAGCTGTAGAGAGCATGACAGTACTAGCAAAACTAAGCAACGGTAGTGCACCAGAACAATTCCAGAAAGCACAAGGGCTCATGTTTTTGATGCTTCCCGGAATTCCTTACACTTACACCTTCGCAAGCTCAAACCAAGTGCAATGTCGACGTTGCTAGTGATGGCCAGTCTGTGACCTGGTTTAGCATTTAGGTCAGAAATATCATCGTGCCCCTTAACGGTTGCTCCGCAGCTAGATTCGCTAAGTCTGATCCAGACTTTTGTCAAAACCATAGCACAACTTCTGCAGCATGCTTGTGGTACATGCATAGGTCAGTGAGTGTGCGGCAGCTACCCACCATTAACCCATCAAAACAATGTCGCTGTATCGCCAATCAGAGTTCAACAGAAGTCGTACCTCTAAACGTACCGGCCGCCGAACATCATCGGAACCTAGGCCAGCAACTACAAGACTTGGCATCTGCGGCTGTCAAGACCTCATCATAGCTGGGCGAGCTTGCAGCGTGTAGGCGCCACCATAATCCGTAGGCCTTAAAATTCTCGGAAAGCGATTACAGAATTAGCAGCAACCGTGACATCATCGCCGTCTTACCTGCGTTTTCCTCAGAGACTCTTCTGTGGAGCCAGACTAGTTGTGCTAGATTGGTGTGTGATTGTGATTGTACTGAGCAAAGGGCCCCGGGGACGTCTCCCGGGTCTCTTGGGGGCGACCACACATAGAGTAGCCCTGCAAGCGGAGAGAACAGTGCAGGAATGGGCAGTCAGCACACCGTCTCACAACAACATCGAGGCCGGTGCTGGCGTTCGCTTGATGTTGCCACGAGTCGCGGTCAGAGTGTCATAGCAGGCAGGGCCAGGAGTCCCTGCCAATTCATGCTCTGCCTCATATGTTACTAGGCTCTGTCTGGAGCGAGTAGCGAGCGTCGTCGGTTGGACAAACGTTGTCCGCTGCTTCTGTTCGCACAAGTCACGATGGAAATGCGAGGGGGGCACGTGTCTTTGACGCTGCCGCCATAATGCTCGGCCTGGATCAGCTCTGAAGAGCCACAGCCACATGAGGCACTAACCAGGCCTCGGGTTCGTGTTCGGAAAGCGATGCCCCTTAGGCCGGCCTCCCAACATCCCAAGGTTCGGCAGTTCTGAGGCACTCCCAGGCTCCAAGGTTCGGGCTCTTTGCAGGTGGGTCGTACCTGCGTGCGCGGCGCCAGGCCCAAGTTTGCCAAAGTTGGTGTCAATCCGAGGGTCTAAGCGGAGCACTCCCCAGGTCCAGGGGATGCAGTTCTCTCCGGAGGAGCGAATCGCTGCGATGCGGCGAACCTTTCTGTTTCTTCACTTCCACTCGGACTAAGCGGCACTCGGAGGACTTCGAAAATTACAATGCTAGGCTGAGACGTTGCGGATGTCTGAGAACCCCCACTTTGCGCCAGCAGCTCGTGCGAGCGAGGGCTTCCGGGAGTCGTAGGTTCCAGGCCTCACATCGATCCACAGCACTTGCTGCAGATTTTAATTACTGCCTACTTCGTAGGCCTTTCGACAACCTCATACCTTGCAAGGCTACGTACTCAAGGATCCAGCCCCACTTCCGAGGGTGTTCCACCGTGCCTGCAGGGCTGGCAGGTCCAGGAAATGACCAAAAAACGCCATGCTCACTTCCAAGTGCCCAGCTGGGCATTCTTCGTGCTGCTGACAGACGCATTTGGGGAGAGGCTCCGAGGGCCTTTGCTGGGCAAATTGCGTCATGTCGAGAATGTGCTAGATTTCTGGTCCTTCATGCTGTGCTCTTCATCAAAAACCCTGTGGACTACGTCAAATTTGTTATCCTTTTCTCAGCTCCGAGCTGGAAACGATTTTCCTGGCCTCGCGACATCACACGAGCATGATATCGAGAGAGTGGCGATGCTGCCCCTTCCGTTCGAGAGCAGATCATACTAGGCAACTGGCTGTGGAAGAGCCGAAACCTCTGAAGCAGCTTTGCACGACATATCGGCTTCGCTACTCTCAGCTAGGTACCGAAGGCATGCGGTGTACCCATGGAGGGCTTCCAGCCTGGCATCTCCATGCCGTTGCCACTCTGGGGTCGACCTGTTTCATCGTACAGCAATGAAAACACTTCGCATGTTAAGGAGTGTGCAATCCTCGGCGTGCTTTAGGCAGGATTTATGGGCTGCGCACCTGTGGCGAGTTGCTGAACATGCCTCGGCAGCCGTCAACAAGCCGTCAGCAAGACTGCGCTGGAGGAGTAATAAAGGAGAATCTTAACCCACAGGGCCACAGAAACACCTCAATGTAAAGCCAAAAACGAAATACGTGACATGCACAGTGGCAGGCAGGGGCGCAGTAGGCCTTTTTCATTCTCAGGACGCACCCTTAGCTCAGGCACCTCTGCCCTACAGCACGCTGCAGCTCTAAGCATGAGTATGACTTGCATGATTTTTCAGTGTTTTGCATCTCGCTTGCTTCGTGTGATTTTTTGCTGGCCCCTTCTTGCAGAACTTCAACCAACGTGAATTCCTGCGGCATACGCTTTGAAAAGATCGCCGATCTCCTGCCACGAATCCAACTGGTTATTTGAAGTGTCAGCGACATCGGAACTGTCAAACTATGCAACCCTCGTGCCAGCTGCGGCTCACAGCTGTCGGGGTCAGGCTCCTTAATTGCCCCAGCCCCGTCCTGAACCCGCCGTTCGCGTTCTTTTCCTTGCAAAGCAAGTAAATCATGCCATGCCTGACTCTGCCCAGCTACGGAGATTAACTGACGCGTCTGACCCAAAGACACAGTCAACAATTCCAAGGGTCCGTTCATCCTCTGAAGCTTGCCTTCTTTAGCAGCCATGAGCTGGGCCTCGCACGGCAGGTCAGCTCCAACCACATCTTAACGGATGCACCAGCCTAAAACCTCTATGTCAAAGCGCAACAATACCAAGCATCGGACTCTCGACGGTGGCTCCCGAACAGTTGGCTTTGGTGGGTTGTCTCCCGAAGGCCTTCGCCAAAGGCCAAGCACTCTTTCAAGACCTAAAGGACCAAAACCACTGCTGTCAAGGCACTCGTAACGGAAACCTCGGACGATGACGCGATGAGAGGGGCATGCCTTCCTGTCCTATGGGCCTAGTAAGGTATCTTAAGGGAATGCAGTCGTCGGTCACGTCATCAAAAACCATCAAACGGCTTTCTTTTGCTGAACCAGAAAAGATACTGTTTTGCATCCTCGCGAAAAGCTCCACAGAAGCTAGACAACCAACATACTGTATATACTCCCCACGAAATCAACGTAGGTCGGGCAACAAAAAAATGTAAGGTTTGAGGACATCTGGATACAGCACGAAGCGGAACTCAAGTGCCGACGAGTCTCAGTAAACCATGTCTCTCTGAGCCCTTTGGGCCCGGTAGATCTCGCCGTCCTCGGGTCGCCTGGTCACGTGCTCCTGGCCCTGGCTTCCCTTTGCAATTTTTGATCTAATAGACTATACCATTATGCCATAATATACTATCATAATTGCAATTTTTGATCTAAGATACTATACCTTTATGCCATAGTATACTATCATACTCCAATATACTATACCATTCTGCCATAATATACTATCATAATACACTATAGTGTGCTACAATAGAACCATATTGTATTTGCTTCGCTTCCGAGGCCAAGTTGCCGTCCCTTGTCGCGGCGGTCGCCGTAGGAGCGCCGATAGTTTCTGAGCCTGTTGGGGAGAGAGGGTTTAGGGTTTAGGGAGATGTCCCAAAAAAATTACAGCTACGACTCTCTGAGTCTAGTCAAGAAGCTGCCACTCCAGGAATGGAAACGTCTCCACATGGATGAACTCGCTGTTCTGCCTGCAGGCGAGCGTGGCAATCATCGAGCACAGCCACGGGCACTCTCGTTTAGAAAGGCGGAGGCACGCTCCCAAGACAATGTCCGAATATCGAACGCCGGTCGCGTTGCAGTTCGAGGCCACCTCCGGGGAGCCACGAACGTTGTTCTCTGCTAGGCTGTGCTAGTACTCCACTGCCCTGCGCCTTGACAACTCCACCCTTTTTCACGAAGCCCCGCAAAGCCCGGAAGAACAAATGCCTGGAGCAAACGGAGTGTGCAGTTGATACCGTCAAACAAACATGCCGACAAGTTTCATAAGGTTTTCATGGCGCCAACCTCAAGTCAAGATCAAGACTCAGGAAGTTGCAGCAGACTGCTTAGCTGCACAATGTTGCATGGCCAGTCCACGTTCCTACGTAAGCACTGGGCGAACAAACGGATGACCGTCAAAAAAACCTTGTATGGCACCTGCAAGAAATGTGCATGCCATAGCATTCTGCATGGAACGGTTCATGCCGCATTGTCTCTCATGTCCAGGCCCTGGCCTGCATGTGGAAAATTGTAATACACGGCCCCAAACTTCTTCTCCATGCCCTGAAACCGAGGATCCACAGCGAGCCTGTCAGGTCCACTTCTGAGCTTTGAGCTGCTCGCGACGTATCAGCTGAAGCTATGGTCACGGATTGGGGTTCGAAGACTCCCAGCACCCGATGCCTCGTGGCATCCACATTGTGAAGCACCTCGGACCTGATAACGTGCAGCGGTGCAAAGAAGCTTGGGGAGACAGATGCTGTCAAACTGCACGTTGGGAGGGGAAAAAGACAGCTAGGGGTGCTGCATCTTGTCTTCCAGGCCCTTCACTGTCTGATCGATCTCCGCATAGCGCCTCATTGCACACTTTGCTACCGGTTCGTGGACTCTGAGCCGCGGCTCGACCTAAGCACAGCCACGAGCATCACTCTCTGCATAGAACTGCCATGCAAGTCTCTCTCGCAGGATTTCGATGGTCTCAAACGTGGTGGCAACCACACGCCCCACATGCCCAAGGCCTCCGGTGCAGTCGAAACTTCTTCAACTTCAGTTTCGAGAACTTACAGCTGCGAAAGAACTTCAGAGAATCTTGGGACGCAATGCTCATGTGGCTCCACATGCCGCTCTACGAGTCTCCTTCCCGGTGCTCCGCGAGCAAGGCGGAGAAGGTCAGGTTGGCATCGCCTTTAGCTTTAGAAGGGAGAGTTGCGAGACGACGTTCAGGCTGCTTGTATCGCAGGCTTGGACATGGCTGCGCCACATCTCAGGCGATTGCCGAGGACCAGCGCATCTGCCATGGAGTCGATCAACTCCAATCGGTTGAACCTACGTCATTGGCTGTGCGCTCATGAATGTCCGCCCTGTTCACACAAAGTACACGCGCACGCGCACACACACACACACACTCTTCTGGGACTGATCCGCAGCCACGACAGTGACTTAGAGTCGATGTCTATATAACTATATTATAGAGCAAGGCTCTAACTAGCGGGTCAGATAAATGGCCGAACCAAACGTGCCTGAAGCGCCTCATTCTCATCACCCGATTCGGCTTGCCAGGTTGGTTAGTGGCTTAGGCCTGGGCTTCGCTTGGCCACAGCACTACATTTTAGGTGCCGACTGGCGCCCCAGTCTGTATCAGCACATGTTGAAAAGCCTCTTTGCTAGATTCCCAGGAATCCCCCCGCTTACTCGAACACCTTTGGTAAGAGGGTGTGACACACACACACACGCACACACACGCACACACACACACACACACGCAAAGAGAGAGAGAGAGAGAGAAAGAGAGCTAGAGAGACACACACACACACACACACATACACTCACACACTCTCGCGACCTGCTGAGCGTAAAGAGCCCAGGATTATCGGGCAGGGCATCCTGCAGCACGATACAACAATCAGGGTCAAAACGAGACGAACCAGGCTTGGGTCTCTCCTCTGTCTTTTCGCTTTCCTCGACCACCTGGGCAGCCGCTTCGTCCAGCAGTTCCAGGATCGGCCGTTTGCCGTCGTATTCTCGCATCACATATCCTTGGCGAATCCCGCACAGTGCGCGCGAATCAACGCGAGACACGGCAGCATTCATCAATCCGAGCTTCTCAGACTTTTGTGGCTTGCTGACCGCAGGCGCGACACATCTTCAGCTTGGAGGCTCCACCTGCAAAGCATCTGCGCGTTCTTGGGGCCAAGAGTGACATGCCAGGAGCCTGCCTCTGATTCCAAGCTTCCAAAATGCTGACAGCCTCTTTGGAGCACAGCTTGTCCTCCCTTGCAAGGAGGAACTTCTCATTCACCTGCTCGGCAAAGGACTTCGGATCACGGCCATTGACTCGAGGAGGATTTGCCTGGCAACAGTCTGCAGGAGCAGTCAGCTCCCTTCGGGGGCAGAAGGCAATGCAGCCAGGTGAACCATGGGCTTCCACGAGGTCTTGGCAACGGCTTCAACATCGGCAATCTCGGCTGTCTGCATGACATACCTGACGGAACGAACCTCTGCGGAGAGATGCTTGCGACATGTCACAGTCCCGGCCTCACCGCGGGGTCCCAGTGCAACTTCCAGCGGTCGATCAGCTCCTGCCGTGGCCCCTCCAAGGGTTCTTCTCGTCGCCTCTTTGCGTCGGGCTCCTCTGTCTGAAGGCCTCAGGGTCAAAAGCTCGAGGGCTTCCACAGGCCCCAACGCGGTCACGCGAGCAAGTGAAAGCCTAGAAAAATGTGGTGGCTTGCAAAGGACAGGGGATCCAAGGGTCCGCGGTCAGTGACAAAAATTGCGACCGCGAAAAGAAAAGGGGTTCTCGAAAAGCTCAGAAGCTGCCGTACGTCTTTTCCAGGACCCGCTTCAAGCTCAAACTGCCTGGGTCAAGCTTTCGAAGCAGTGGCTGACCCATCAGCTCAGGAGCTGTGCACCAACCTACAACCTGACGCAAGGCCTTGCACAGCTTCCCGCATGTCTTCGGGAACATCTGACAACTTCAGATCGTCTTCCCGTCCGGGCACCACCTCCTCATCGCTGTCGCCCTGCGTCTGAACACTTCCCACGCAAAGCCGACAGTAGGCCCATAGCCCACGGAAGTCGGCGCCTGGGGATCTCCGTTTTGCTCTCCGTTCTCTTTTAGATCCCTCAGCTCTTCGAACTCCTCGTGCAGCTCCTGCCAGCTTGGCTGTTCGACTCAGACTACTGCTCTACTGGAAATGAAAGCTCTTGAACTTTTAAATCTACCAAGGCACTGGAACTTCATCTTCCAGGAACTCGTCATCTTCAACCACCACCTCTACATCATCGTCGTGAGATTCGAGCTTCCACTCCTCCAGAGCTGCAGCAGAGCTCAGCAAGGCCGTTTCGGCGACTCCCGGCATGTCCTCCTCCCCGACGGACTCCTCCTCCTCGTCGAGGGCAGCCCATGGAGCAGGGTCGCTGCTGGTTGCCTGCACCCATCACCACGCACCGCTAAAACTTCTGGATGCTCGCATGTGTGGCCTTTGGAAAGCCGACGTCCTCCTCTTGCACCGTCACCTCTACCTCGCCAGTGTCATAATCGAGTTCCTGCTAGCTCAGGGCCGCGCTGATCATCACCCTGGACCCTTGCGTACCGCAAATCTGCGCAAAGCTGATCCCACTCCTCTTCCCCGACAGATTCTTTCTCGTCGTCTAAAGCAGTCCATGGGTCGAGATCAGCAGTCATCGCATTTCTACGGTTAAGGAGATTAACCGGCTGAGCTTAGGCCTACGAGCTGTCGACCGAGTGGAGTAATGTGAAGTCTGAGTCTACGGGTCTGGATTATTCTGTCATTGTGTTGGTGATTTGCTTGCTGCACAAGTGATCGTTCTAGATCCGGAAGAATTAACTCAAAAGCGTCAATCTGGTTGGGCCTGGGATGACATGTCTGCTAGCATGTCCTCCTGAGTCCGAACGGCTGATTTGGTGATCAGTGAGTCAGCAAAGGAGAAGACCAGCATCAGCACGCTGCAGCAAGCCGAGGGTCTTCTCAAGAAACACCACCGCTCACCCATGGTCGCCTGCGTCTGAGCTCTTCGCATGGAGCCAGGCTTCGACTCGTAGTCCCCGGGCCTCTAAACTGCCGGGCACTCTAAGAGCTTCACAGAATGCCAGAGCCTCTGAGCCTCTGAGATCCCAGCCCCGGAGTAGACTCCGGAGCCTCGAAACGGCCCGTGGCTGTGGAGCAACCGAACGGCCACTGCTTCTGAGTAGTCGGACGCCTGCGTGCCACTGCGTTGGGAATTCGGAACACAAGCATTCTTGGTCCTGGAGCAGTCCACGAAGTCTCGAATTTTCTCCCGCCAGTCTTTGACAGAATCCAGCACAGCCGCTAGCGATGTTCGCCGGCTCCTCAGCCGCCGCCGACATTGATGGAATATGCTGTACTTTAAAGCATTCGACACGGAGCAGTCTCTGTTTGGCACACAGTGGGCATTGTACCAATACAGTAGATTGCGGCAGTCTGAGCAGATTCAAGTGCACGGACGAACGGCGATGACGCTATTGCGGCCAGGTTGCTCTTCTACCGCCAAACGCTGCTCCTCGCGGAGAATTCGAAGAAATCGCGAGTCGAATCGATGAGACCAACGTTGGCACATATCTTCCAGCTGGTCATTTGCATGTGCTCGGAGTAGTTCTTCCTAAGCCGCACGTCGCCCTGACCCAAGACAAGCCTTGAACCTAAACTCTGCCACACTCTATCCCAGTTGCTACCACCAAGACATATCTCTGCCGTACTTCCTTGGCCACGGTGGTGATGGAAACCTGCATCGTGACCTGACCTCGGATTCAGACCAATTGCACTTCTGCTGCATAACGAAGCTTACAGGCTTACTCCTGCGCATTGAAGCCAAAGTCTCCATTGAACGGATCCTCTAAACGAAGCCCAATCTCCTGGAATCCAGGCAGCAGCATTCAGTGCTGCGGGAACAGTTTGCAAGCCCGTCCTGTATACCCAGCAAGCCCCAAGATGCGATGAGCTCCTTGCTTCGTCTCCCAACTGAACATGCTACTGAAATACTGCGAAGATGTCGGATAGGAATCCGGAGGCCATGCCGAGGCCAAGTGGCAATGAGCACCGTGAGCCAACCCGTCTCTGGAGCCAGGGCCAGAGGCAAAGTGAGCAGCCAAACCGCGAGAAAGCGCCCCGTGTGCCTGACCTGCCGGGCCGCCACTTCAAGACACTAAAGCTGTACAGCCTCTACAGCTCTACACCACCACCCTCTTCCTAAAACGAAGGACTACGAGCTGAAGAACACCCGAGATCCGTGTATTTATTGCCAGGATCCGCCAGGGCACATAGCTTTGTGGCACGGGTGTCTGCACCACACTTTCGCAAGGACTGACCAGGTCGGAGAGCTGCTCCACGAATCTCAGCAACAAGTTCCTCTCCTGGGTCCGACGACCACATCTTTCCGCGCTATCTTAGCCTTTAGCTACAGTTCAGCTTCGCCGCAAGGGCGTTCTCCCAAACTCATGCCTAGTCTCAGACAGCTCGAGCAGGAGCAAGCCAGAGATTCGAGAATGCACACGGTCCAACAAAGCCAATGGTTTATTGACGTCGTCGCGCGTGATATTAAGGAGCTTGGTGCGCCGGTTCTCCAGGTGCTCACGCAGGACTTCGGGGAACAAGCATATGTCTTGCGCAAGCTGGCGGTGAATATCCTTTCACAGCAGCCAACCGTGAAAGTCTGATTGCGGGTGCTACGATTGGATCGACGACTAGACAAGGCGGAAAGATCCACAACTCGGCCAGAGCACTCGTGGTACCCGGTCATCATGGTAGAACAGCGTCCGTGACAGACTTCTGCAAAGGCTGGAGATCTTGCCCCAGTTCGTCACTGCTTCATTGAATCTCGCTATGGACTGCTGCGTGCGAAATGTCAGCAGCAGGCCGAGTGGAGTCACCAAGAACTGGTTGAGCCTCACCGGAAAACACAGCCCGCTGTTTGCAATCATCCCGCCAGCTCAAGCGATCCGAAGAGAATCCAAAGGCACCCTGCGAAAAGGCACCCAAGGCACCTCCAGGCTGATTCCGGGAGCGAGTGACGCCATGAAGAAATGGCAGCGCAGCATGCAGCCCAAATCGTACCTCAAGAAAATCAACACCGACAACTGATACGCAGATTGTGTCGATTGGCACGCCGAAGAAGTGAGTTCACCTGTGCAGCGACGTGGCAGACGGCGACTGGCATCGCAACCTGCTGCAAAGTCCTGCTTGACACAACCTGAAGACGTCCAGCGGGCAAGGTCAAGTCTCAACATCGCAGAACTTCAGCGTGTCAGCACATGGCTTCGTAAGTTACACAGCTACACAAGACAAGGCTAACCAGCCCAGTGCAGGGAAGCCACTTGCAACAGTGTCAAGAATAGATCGGTACTCCGAAAGCGTTCTTGAACAGGTATGGGCAACGCTTGTCCACCTCTCTCTTGAATGACCTTGTCGTGCTTGAGCCCGAATCGTTGTATGCCCAGTTCCCTGGCACAGACCATGCATCTTCAGGAATCGCTGCGACTGCGCATGTCACAGTAACTCCCCATCCTATCAAGTGCGGCCTCTCCAAAACGCCTTCGGCGCTGCTGATCACGTCCGGGTCAATGCGGAGGCTCTTGGCATGCGCGAGGGCAGCTTCAATCACTTGCGGGATTCGCGACTGCTCGGCCTCGCGAGGTGAACTCCAAAGAGCTCCGAAAAAGTAATGAAGGGAAGGGGGAGGCATCAACAAAACGCATTGCAAAATCTTGCCGTGATGGGTGCCTCCTTCAAACGATTGATGGCGGAGAGCTTGCTCCTGTCAACACCCGCATCGTTGGGAGCAACTTCAATAGAGACTCTGACAGAATATCCCCGGCACGGGCCCTGATCTAATAAATATTTGGCGAAAAAAGCCCGGCCTGGCAACATCCAAGGCTGGATGCTCTAGCTGACGGAGCTCGGCCTCTAAGATGACTGTGCGTAGGGACACCCTTGTATAGGATTCCGTCAGTTCGCGGATCATCACGAGGTCCGTGAGACGGTCCCGGGCTTTCTCGAGTTCCTCACCACTGATTTGCGCAGCGCGTGCCTCTTTCAGCACCTCTCGGACCTCGTCTTCGTCCTCGCAGTCCACCATGGTTTCGAGCTTTCGTCGGAGCCAGGCTAACTTCTTTGTCGCGACCATCTCGGCCAAGGCATCCTGAGCTTTGTCGATTTCCACGGATGGCAGTTCCTGGCGCCTTGCTTCGCGAATCGCCTCACGAAGCTCTGTCTCGTTGCCTTGAGTGGCAATGCGAAGGTCTGCCACCAGCCGATCGGAAACGAGCTTTGTCAAAGCGGCCTGTGCCACCTCTAAATCCTCAGCAGCTACATCTGCCTTTCTGGCCTCTGCCAAAGCATCCCTCAGTTGTTCCTCCTCTTGCAAATCCGTCGCATCTTGCAAGTACTTGGAGATCCTGGCACGGGCCTTCTGGCGCAACGTCTCTTTTGCCTTTTCGATCACTTCCTCGGAGAGGCCCACCTTGCGAGCCTCGGCAATCGCGGCTTTCAGCTCGGACTCGTCGGCGGCCATGGCCTGTTCCAGTTGTCGCTCAGAGCGTCCTTAAAGCGTCTCCACAAATTGCCGTCAACCGGAGCCTACCTGTACGTCCTGCAGCTCTCGCATTGGTAAGTATTCTAGTTTTTTTTGAACCCGTACTGGGGCCGATGCGTGTGACGGGAGCTGGTAAGTATCCTACTACCAGACAAAACACACCCCACACCCTCGCGGTGTAAATCAAACTCCTCACATTCATCCAGGCGACGCTGCACTAGAACCGTAAGAGCAGCTTGGGCCGTGTCGACCTCATCAGTGGGCAGCTCCAGCTGCTTAGCTTCCAAGATGGCCTCCCGTAGAAGCTCTTCATCTCCGCTGGCTGCAGCTTCTCGGAGCTCGGTCACGTCCCTCTGCCGCACCAAAGCGGAAAGTGCATCGTTCGCCCTTTCCAGCTCTTCTGCGGGGAGGCCATCTTTGCGCGCCTCCGTGATCGCCGCCCGCAGCTGGCCCTGCGCTGCAGATCGGCTCCAATGAAGCAAGATGTCCCCTCCCGGACTCCTCCTATCCCACGCTGTCTTTGCGAGCCTCGTCATCACTGCCGGCCGCATTTCTCAGGCGCTTCAGCTTCCGAGCGAGAACGAGGCTGTTCAACTGCTCTTGCGCACGAGAGCCTGGGTTTCGGGAGTCGCAGGAGAGCTCAGCAACATCGCTTTGCCAAGCAGCATTCCTCCTCTGGCAGGTCCAGAGCCCTTGCCTGGGTCAAAGCCTCGCGTAGTTGGTCCTCATACCAGGCCCGACAATATGGGGAAGTGCCGGAGAAGCAGTACAGTACAATTAAGAGCAACTGCATAAGTTCGCTTCAGTATGTTGAGTATTGAAGCAAGCGATGTCCTCATCCCCACTGGTAACGGCATCTTGGAGCTGTTTCAGCTCCTCAGTCCAGTCAACCGTCAGAGAGGCAAGGCATGCTGCCCACAGTGCCACGCTGCTAGCTCAAGACCAGCACCGTCAAGTTCAGTCATGAGTCATGAGCGCCTAACTCTTCAAAATCCACGAAGCATTTCTGTCTGCTGTATACATAGCCAACAACGGCGCACACCACAAATCCAGAGTCCTACCCTGGACCATCCCTTCTTACCGGGGCAGTTGCCAAAACAGCCTGTCTTCATGATGATATCTCTTGATCCGTCCCAAGTGGGTCCTTCTCCAAGAAGATGTCCTTCAGAGTGGCCTGTGCTTGTCCTTGGCCAAGCACGGATCAGCTTTAGCAAACGCCACAAAGCCGGACCAAAGCCAAAGTAGTTGTGCCCCAGCAGCCGAGGATGGAATTGGCCCGCGCGACCTCCGAGCCGTCTTCCGGGAGCGAGGCCTTCCGCGCCGCCGCGATGGCCTCCCGCAACTGGCCCTCGTCTCGGCTGCCAATCGCCTTCTCCAGAAAGTCCACTCGCCTCCGCAGGGTGAGCGTCTGCAAGAACTTCTGCGCTTCCTCCACCTCCTGTACCGGCACGTCGGCCTGTGGAAGCATGGGCAGAGTACGCTTCAATGTGCTTCAGGACTATACAGGCTCACAAGCCTGCCTTGCTGGCATCGCTTATCGCCCCCCGCAGCTGTATCTCATCCCCGGTCTCCATAGCATCACTCCTTCGAGTGACATCAACAATAACAAGCAGCGGGTGGAACGTCGGACGATTGACCAGAACATGCACCACAATCAAACTCGTCGAGGAGCAAGGCTTTGCGTTCGCGAGCTAGAATTAGCTCGTTCAGTGCATCCTGAATTGGGACCGGCAAGAGAACTGAGGCTTGCTTCAAGCTCTCGCTGTGACTGTGGTGTCGAAACTCCTCTAAGCTAGGATACCTGTTGGGATCCTTACCAGCGGCAGCAAGAGAAACATTCTCGCTTTCTTCTCTTAAGCTTGTCAAAACACCCCGAAGATCCCCGAAGAATCAGAACATGAATCTCTTCACTTGCTCGGCCTGAGCTTTGTCGACGTCGTCGGTTGGAAGATCGGCCAGACCGGCTAGACGGGCCTGTGGGGGACACGGGGGGAGGACATCGTCGCCTCACTTAGAAGAAAGCTTCGTGAGCAGACCCGGATATGAGTACAGAGATGTGGCAATTCACAAACGGCTCCAGCGAGCCCGCCTCTTTGATCGCATTCCGCAGCTGGGTCTCATCGTCTCCGACTGTAGCGCTTCGCAGCACCTTGAGCTCTCGCTCTTGGACCTGAGCAGGAATGGAACTAACCGCAACATACCGCTTACTCCGCTTACCGCAACTCAAGCCGCTGTTGCACTCTGCTCTCGGCAGCACGCCATTTCGGTCAAGGCTTTCTCGGCCTTCTGCAGCTGAGAAAGTGGAAGCTCCACGTCCCGCGCCGCCTCTGATCGGAGTACAGTGCGACAACCGGGCACTTGCATTCCGTCACTCTGCCTGCGGGCTGCGAACCCGCCTGGATTGCATCTCGTAGCTGTGCTTCATCCCCGCTTCCCATGACCTGTCTCAAAGCTGCCACAATCCCGTGTCTCGCAAGATCTCGCGACTTCCTCCTAGGATCTCCTAGGGGTCCTAGCGCCTCTTTCAGATTCTTCAGCGCACGATCCACCAGAATGCAGTTCAAGGCGACTTCCGTCTGCGCCAGGCTGTCCACCAGGGCATCGCGCTCCGGCCGCTCAGACCGCTCGGGATCCGTGTCCTACGAGATGGAAGAAGACTTCAAGCACCAACAGCCGTGGGCCATCTCTGAGTTACACTGCTTGCAGGTCCTGGCGTGCAGCTTCCAATGCTTCTCTCAGCTTGCTCTCATCAGCACTTGCGCGAGCATCTTCCAATTGACGTAGCTTGGCATCCACAGAACCTGGTGTTCAGTCATCCTGCAGCAACCCTACGGCCCTACGGAAATCCGACTTTACGCAACTACATCCAAGGCAAATTTTTGACAAGCTGCGGGCAGCCGTAACTTTGGGCGTCCCTGGCCAGAATCGCCGAAGCTTCTCCTGCCAGGTTGCAAAGTTCAATTCGAGCCCAGGCCTGCAGATCCCTGAAAACCAACAGCACGTCAGCTGACGTGTGGCCTTCCATTTCCGCGGGCGCCCGCGGCGTGTCACCGTTCGCAGGGCCGCAGCCGCGATGCCAGGGCTCGCTCCGAGCAGAGGAGGGCATCCTTGCAAGAAACCAGGCGTGGCGTGACACCCCGCTTTTGCCCGAGGGTTTTGGCCGGCCGGTGGGTGCGGCAAAGACACGCTTCCCGTAAACCAGAGGAACGGCTTGCTGAGCCGAACTTCCGAGAAAGGTGCTTGACTTGCCACACGCCTGCACGGCACGAGTCCCAATCTGCTCTGGCAGCTTTCAGTCAGACAGCAGTTTCAGTGAGCTTCTCGCCACACGAACCTGTCGGTGCCGGCTTGTTTGCACGCTTCCGCCGACTCGCGGGAACATGATGGAACATGTCCCATGGCGACAGCGGACTTGGCCGAAAACGTGGCAAAGACTGGCATATGCTCACGTGGAGTTTCCACGGGGTTGAAATCCCTGGGACAAGCTCTTTGGTTCAGGACGTCAGGGCTCGCATTCATTCGCTGTGCCAATACGCACTAACACATAGAGAAAATGCCTCGGCGCCTTCCAATTCACTTCATCTCGAGGCGGCTAACCAAGGCTGCGAGCAAAACAACACGTCGTGGGCACGTATGTCTCTCCTCTCGCTCGAGCGGGGAGCACCTTCCAAGAAATCTATTTTCGTATGCGCCAGGTCCAGGTGTTTCGAGCCCTGCCAGTACGCACTGGATGCAACAAACATGAAGCTCTCACGGACGTGTGGAGGAAAGAGAGGTCAGCGCCTCGGACCGGCAGACGTCCTCGAGGCGACACCTATCCGGAAGCCCGGCGAGTCAGATCTCAATGAGAGCCTGAAAGACACCCCGGCTTGGGCCGCCTGACTGCTCACGCCTCGGATTGCTGAAGGTCGCATGCTCCGATCAAGCTCAGTTCTCGAAAAAACCGTAGGCCCGGACTTGCTTCCTTCCCAGTACCTGCAGGAATGAAGAGCACTCCACTTACAACCATGGTTTCATGGCGACCCTCCAATGTTCCTCCATACATCATCAGCACCATCAGCACTATCACAACCCAGATCACATCATCCCCGTGATCGGCAGTGGCGTCGTCATCGTCGTGGTCGTTGTCGTGGCCTTCGTCGTCGTCATCATCATCACCATAGTCATCTGATTCCAACTGTCGGTCTTATTCCTCTTCGATGCTGTCGTGGCAATGATTACTTACAAGCAAACATCCGCAAGTAACGGCATTGAGTTACCAAAGGTACGACTAAACCCCTGCCCTGACAAATTCTGCGCCGAGCCTCTGGGAGTCGTTGGTGTGTTCAGTCCAGCCGTGCCTTTGAGTCAAGCACAAGCCTCCCACAGTTAGAGGAACATCCTCGAACGCCCACAGATACCTTGATGAAACCTGGAGGTTGCTCCTGTGCCTAATTAAGACTCACAACTCATAAGTCATAACGGCTCTGGAAGAAAGTCGCTGAGTGGATGACCGAACGAGAACTTGGGCCCTGCCTGGCGACATCTCTGTTATGAGTAAAGCCGCCGCCGAGCCGCCGCTACGCCGTTCCACCTTGATCGTGGAGACCGTGGCCATGGCGGGGTATGAACCTGAGTGAAAATAGTACCGCAATCCCAACTGATTCAATGCTGGATGCGCAGGCTCTATGCAGATCCGCACAGTGCAGGCTGGGATTTTGCTGCGAACGCTGATCCAAGGATCCCCCTCTACAGTTGGAGATCCCTTGCATGAGGGATTACGGCCACCATAGCCCGGGGCGTCAAGGGTGCATGCCAGAGGTGACCCAAGCGATCACTTTCTGGGCACTGGCTCCTCAAGAGCCGATGGGCCAAGGAGGTCGGAGGTCCGAGCTGCGCAATGTGGCGCATACATTACTAATTACAGGCTACCACATTATGCCTTTCTAACGATGAGACCTCATGCTGACCACAGGGTAAGCCACTACCACATCAATGGCGTTGCTCGGCACGTGCGACCCGCAGCATATTCTGTGTCAAAGGTCAAAGAAGGTCACTGCCACAGCCACCCTGGAAGACCTCACCGCATTTGGCCCTGCGTTAGCGATGCTGTAGGCAAAAGATACTTAACGCTAATGTGGCCCGGTGGGGAGTGGCAGCGCTACGGCCTTCCAAAGAGGTGCACCTTGATTGAAAATGGTGAGCCCTTGATCCAAATTCAAAGGAGAGCTCAGTGCGATGGACCGTGACTCCTTCGAGTAACGGCCCGCGATCACGATCTCACACGATCTCAAACAACGATGGCTGTCTCTTTAGCCTTTACGATGGGATAGGACGGCTGATCTTTGATGCCGCACTCGCCGTCTTTGGGCACCCCGCGCTCAATTCGCACAAAGCCATCTTCTCCCCACTGGGCTCCCCAAGAGTTCTTCACCTCAGCGGTGACAGCAAGCAAAAGAAGCAAAGCGTGTACTATGCATGTTCATGCTGAAACAGCAGTCGACCCAGTGCCTTCCAGTAGTCCACGCCATTCTCAGTGCCGTAGCCCACCACCAGCACACCATGGTCCAGCTTCTTGCCACACTCCTTCGTCAAGATTCCCCCGCTGTAAAGCTGGAAGGCCTCCTGGTCTGCTTCGATGGCGACAGACACTGGCTGCTCGGACACGGCTTCCAGAAGGGCGTCTGTATCCTGGGGCGTGACATCCTTGAAACCAACAATGGAGCCCTTCGGCACCGCGACCGTGCAATTCGTCTCCATGCAGGTTCCCTGCTTGGCCGTGTATGGGTAGCTGTCCTCCGTGCAGACATTGTACTTCTCCAAGTACTCAAAAGCCAAATCCATGGAACCACCCTGGCAGCCCATGTTGCCGTTCTTAGCGCAGTCCACCAGCTGCTGTTCACTCAAGGAGACGAGCTTGCCAGTGGCGAGCTGCCATGCACCTTCCAAAGCTCCGGTCGTGGAGAAGGACCAGCACGAGCCACATTTTCCTTGATCTTTCGGGTCAGTCACGGCGCCCTTGCTCACCCAGTCCACTGCAGAGGGCAATGCGGCGCCGCTGTACCTCACGACTTGAAGATGTGGTTACAGAAAGGAGACGCATAGAAGGAAAGCAGAGGCCTGCCGCCGAGGCGCGGGTCCCTGCCAAGGTAAGGCAACCCAGACCAGGCTCGGGTTCCTTCCTTCATGCCGAAGTGACTAGTAGCGAATTCTTCCGGCGCCAGGTCTGCAAACTCGTTGATGCCCAACTTGAAGGACTTACCCTGGGCGTTGTGCGCCTCGATGCGGGCGAAGTTCTTGGCAAACGTGGCGAAGCGAGCTGCCCGCTCAGACGCCGTGGAGTAGGTCCTGGGATAATATTCGAGCAGTGCTGAAAGCCAACTCATCCCAAACACACAAGATGCAAGTTGGGCCTTCCCTTATCCCTCCTTCTCCAAGATAATGCTCGAAAACACTTGCCGTATACCCCTTCTTGACACCATATTCAATTTTTGATTCTCGTCGGTATGAAAGCCCGATTCAGGCCACCGCCATTATTCCAACTCTCGTTTACAACATGTGTATTTACCCTCCCGCTCCCTTCAAAATGAGTTGAAGGTGGTGCCGTCGGATTTTGGAACTTTTGGGGGGGGGAACGGTTTGCGGTGTCGTCCGGGTTGCTTTGTGGTGGAAATAATTCGTGCACAGCACTACTAGTAGGGTCGTGTTGCATAAATTCCATCTTTTTCCGTGCCTATCTAGTAGATCTTGATTGTAAACATGTGTAAAACCTGTTCGCACCCAGCTTCCATGTTAGATTGCAGAAATGAGCAGATTCACAATGCCATTGAAAAACGATACCTAAAGAACCTGGTGCATCCGTGTTAAGCCTGGTTAAACGGTTAAACTGTGCCAAACTATGCTTGTTGTGCACGTGAACCGACACCGTAGACTGTAGTCCTGATGCTTCGGCCCAACATGGCCCAACATGGCACCCGAATGATTTTGTAGGCAGGTTATACAGCTACACAACGTATTTTGATCTTGTATAGATGACTTCGGCAAGCCGATCGCAAAAACTGTCACATAAATGCCACTGTCGGCTCTGAACGCTAGATGGGCCAAATGGGGCAAATGCCTGCGTAGCGGTTGAGTGGGATAAAATGCGGCCGGACAACACATGGGTGCAGATGCGATGGCCCGGATGCACGGGGGTCTTGATATTTCGTGCAGCACGGCACTCACGGCGGACATGATGAACTCAGCAACCAGACGATCACAGGCGGACGCTTTACCGAGAAGGACCACTTCGGTCGCGGGAAAACACGCAGAAACACGAGCAGGAGAAGGAGATGGGGCAAGCGGAAAGCATAAAAGGAAGGCATGCCTAAAAGGAAGCAAGCGAAGGGAGGGGAAGGGGAAGGGAAGGGAAGAGAAGGGAAAAGGAACGGACGGGAAGGGTAGGACAGGCACTAGCAGGCGTTGCACGGTCAGCAGATCTGGCAATTGACGACATGGCTGATCGCTTCGCTAAAAATTTTGTCCTCCCGTGACAACGACTACACATTCAAGTCCGGCAGGGTAGTCGTGGCCAGCGAGAGTGAAGTGATACACTCATAACGCATGGAAATGGGCCGCGTGGCCTGCGGGCTGCCATGGCTGCGAAGGGAGTGAGCGCCATGGTATGCGACGATGGTGATCTGAAGCTTTTCCACAGCCACGCAATCTCGCCTGCCCAACGATTCGGGCGCCATGGGCAGCAGACGTAGTCATCAACGTCGAAGCTGGCTCTGAATCTTGAGTCTGAGGCGCTCCACCTGCTGCATTTTCTTTTCCGCGTGGGTGACGCTGTGCCCCCACCACGGTCCGTAAACATCTTTGCAACGGTCTCGGCAATAATTTTCCATAATTAACCCCTTTCCTCGTCCGGGGCCTCTCTAGAAAGCGGCCATGCCCTCTCGTTTGCTGATGGCGTAAGCCCCCGCCGATCACGTCGTCGAAGCCGTGGCCGGCACAACAGTCGACAGCCTCGTACCACGGGTCAGTCACGTGGTCGCTTGCATTCGCCGCACGAAGGATGGAGATGTTCATGCAGCTGGCGGCCTCAACCACGCAAAGGTGTCGTTACGATCTCCTCTCCATGCCGGAATCGCCATCCAGGAGCCCGGCCACCTCCACGTCTGAGGCCAGAGGGCTGCGTTTTCCTTTCATGTACATCGTCGCGAGGGTCACCTTCGGAAGGAGTCCAGGGTCATGTGGAGCCGGCTTGAAAATGCACCAATCTCTGCAGCCTGACATCCTGTGTATCCTGATTCACGGTCACAGGGGAATTCCTGAATCGTGAAAGAAGCTGCCTTGCTTGATCTGCCTTGGGCGTTTTCGTCGCCTCCGCTGGGCAAAGCACTTCCTTCGTCAGCACCCGAAGTTTGCGACTGTTCTCAACAAGTCCCAGGTCCTGAGAGAAGCGATTCCAGGTCTGAATCGGTCTCGGCATCACGAACGTTGGTGACCATTGGTGACGACGAGGTTGCTGCTTTATGTGATCTCGGAGGAGGCGCCGACGATGCATAGCAGGGTACTTCAGGAGCACTGTGAAGCCCATCGGCGCTGCGGGACATCCGTGGGGCAACGAAGAGCCTCCACGCTGTCCCTCCAGCAAGCTAACGCCTCCGAGTTGGAGCCACCGGCACAGCGGTTCGTCCAGGTATGTTCCAACAGGCTCAGCAAACACTGCGGGGTGCCCATCCTCTGCAGGACCCTCAGTGACAGCCGGGGGTTTACGTAGTCAAAGCACAAAGACATATCCACGCTGATGAGAATGCCGGACTGCAGGTGGTACTTCGCATCCAGCTTACGAACTCCTACTTCAACACATCGCCCTTGGATGCCACCCTGGAAGTCGTCGGGCATGTCATATACTCCCGGCATGCTCGCACCTCGGGCCGCGATGTCCACGTAGAGACAATTGACCTGTAGACTGCAGACAAAACCGAAATCGGTCGCATTCGCTCCGCCTGAACGCAGTCAACGGCAACGTCATGCTGATCCTTGGGGATGCACAACATGCGGGCCTCAGTCCAGGCGACTGGGTAGCGGCCTGTTTAGAGCCAGGCTTCCAAACGCGCTAGAAACAGGCAGCGAGGCTGGCTCTGCACGGTCAAGCCTTTCGCTGCCTTGCTGAGCATTCCGGGGAGTGTCCCCACATTTTTCTGGCCTCAGAACCCAGGATATCCAGGAGGGGGTCCAATATGGGATCGTCCTCCGCGATCCCGTTGCAGATGTTGGTGCCGGGCAAGTCATGCAAGCTTGTCTTCGGGAAAGTGGTACGGGTAGGATGCTGGGCGGGGGCCCCCGGTCATTTGGCCTGAGCTACGACTTCGTCTGCTGCCATCTGGGCCTCATGTTCACGGACAAGCTCGCGAATTTGTTGTGGGGATCGCGCCTTGCTACCGTAGAGGATGCAGTTGGTGGCTTTGCTATTGTTTGACGTGGCTCGCCTCGCCTCGGAGGCACCTCTGGCAAAGCTCCCCGGTATCTGGCTGCGGGGCTCCCCCTGGTGGTGGAACGGGATCTATCCCAGCTACGAG